TGATATCTGTTAAACCAAACACCAATACAGTGATATCTGTCCAAACCAAACACCAATACAGTAGTATCTGTCCTAAACCAAACACCAATACAGTGATATCTGTCTAAACCAAACACCAATACAGTGATATCTGCAAACCAAACACAAAAACAGTGATATCTGCAAACCAAACACAAAAACAGTGATATCTGTCCAAACCAAACACCAATACAGTGATATCTGTCAAACCAAACACCAAAACAGTGATATCTGTCAAACCAAACACAAAAACAGTGATATCTGTCAAACCAAACACAAAAACAGTGATATCTGTCAAACCAAACACAAAAACAGTGATATCTGTCAAACCAAACACAAAAACAGTGATATCTGTCAAACCAAACACAAAAACAGTGATATCTGTCAAACCAAACACAAAAACAGTGATATCTGTCAAACCAAACACAAAAACAGTGATATCTGTCAAACCAAACACCAAAACAGTGATATCTGTCAAACCAAACACAAAAACAGTGATATCTGTCTAAACCAAACACCAAAACAGTGATATCTGTCCAAACCAAACACCAAAACAGTGATAGCTGTCTAAACTGAACACCAAAAAACAGTGATATCTGTCAAACCAAACACCAAAACAGTGATATCTGTCCAAACCAAACACAAAAACAGTGATATCTGTCAAACCAAACACAAAAACAGTGATATCTGTCCAAACCAAACACCAAAACAGTGATAGCTGTCTAAACCAAACACCAAAACAGTGATATCTGTCTAAACCAAATACCAATACAGTGATATCTGTCTAAACCAAACACCAATAGTGATATCTGTCCAAACCAAACACAAAAACAGTGATATCTGTCCAAACCAAACACCAATACAGTGATATCTGTCCAAACCAAACACCAATACAGTGATATCTGTCAAACCAAACACCAAAACAGTGATATCTGTCAAACCAAACACCAAAACAGTGATATCTGTCAAACCAAACACCAAAACAGTGATATCTGTCCAAACCAAACACCAATACAGTGATATCTGTCAAACCAAACACCAAAACAGTGATATCTGTCAAACCAAACACCAAAACAGTGATATCTGTCCAAACCAAACACCAAAACAGTGATATCTGTCCAAACCAAACACCAAAACAGTGATATCTGTCCAAACCAAACACCAAAACAGTGATAGCTGTCTAAACTGAATACTGTACCAGTACAAACTAAATCAATTACCAGAACAGTGATATTGGTTTAAAACTAACACAAAAAGAAACTGTCTAAACAAAACTCAGAAATATCTACTAGTTTTTAGAATCATACTTACCCTGAAAATAAAAGTCAAACACACAATTCCTGAAGTTGACATAACTTTAGCACTATTTGGAATTAAACTAAATAAACTTGGAAGAACCAACTCAGCGACATGATCAAATTGTCGTCCTATTGTTTTTGATAAAAACCTACAAAAAGACAAAACAGATAATTTAGTGAAATAGAATATTTCTTATAATAATTTCAAATGAAACAAAGTGCTGAATTGTTTGAATTATGCACATTAAGATACGAGCATAGAGTTACAAAAACATTGAGTTACAAAAACATAGAGTTACAAAAATGACCCTGCCAACTTTTGCGACACCTTGTCCAAATTGCACCACATTTCGGCGCCAGCAAGATTCAAAACCAAACTGTTTAGTCAAAACCCAGGCAGTTAGCCAATTCGCTAGCAGATTTGGTTGCCCCAATACTTCTGAGACTTGCTGTAACTGTTAACAAAATTTCGAGTTACGGACACAACATAGATTTTTGTTTAACGTCTACATTTAGTAACTTGAATGTTAATTAACACTTAACCGAGTTATGGGAAACATAAAATGTATGTTGCCTGTAACTCAAAGTTTGGTTAACTATTTATTTATACCATTAATGACTCCAACAGTTATGGGACTCGTAAAATAATGGCATAGCAAGTAGCTAAACATACCGTACTGGACCGCGTTAGTGCCCAGGGGTCTCATCTCAGAAAATCACGATTTTTTAGGGGTGGTCGTTTACCCGAGTACCCCCCTCGAAAAAGAGTGCAAATGAAAATTTTGATTCATCATGTGACAGATTGAGGGGGATATTACGTCTTTGAGGGAAAATCAAATTATGAAATTAGTTGCGTCGTCATTGATTTTTACAATGAAGAAACAGAAATGATCACAAAAAATATGCACATTTTATTACAATATTAATTACGAACCACCTGAATTTACGTATTAAAAACATTAGAGTCTGTTGGAACACATAGTCAAAATTGTCATATTATCTCCACTGACGAATGCAAATGCAAACTCGCGATGAAAATCACTTTCCGCCATAATGCATTTGCAGATTTGACCTGCAGCAACGTCCTTTGACCTAATGGGTCAAGTTGGTTATTAACCAATCAGAATGTCGTGTTGTACCAACATAATTCTTCGGAAATTCTCGAAGACTTTCCGGTAACACAATGCGGAAACGAATTATCGATCTCGAAGTACGATCTGTTGGAATTAATTTCAGCGAATAAATGATATGGTTTATCCAAAAAATTGGTAACTATCCATATTTTGACGGGTAAACTGAATATGGCATGAAATATTTACCGCATTCTACTTGTATTAACAGGTCATTGTCGAAGCGTAGTTTACACATGGTTACCGTTGTCTACGCATTCGCAACATATTCACAGCGGTCGATATCCATGCTATATCATATAAAAACGATTACCAAGATTCGTTACGCAATACCAAGTTTTAAATTAGTTGCATTTTGAAGGGGTGGGCGCTTTGCCGAATGTGACCCCGAATATAAAAATTGCGCATTGTGGGGTAGGGTGCTTGTCTGAGCATGGGCGCTAACGCGGTTGAGTACGGTTTTTATGCAGTTCCATTGTTCAGTGCTTTCAGTTTAATAGGCTTGAGTTTTCAGTATTCTCGGGTGTCATCAAGTTTTCAGTATTCTAAGGTGCCATCAAGTTTTCAGTATTCTAGGGTGTCATAAAGTTTTCAGTATTCTAAGGTGCCATCAAGTTTTCAGTATTCTAGGGTGTCATAAAGTTTTCAGTATTCTCGGGGGTCATCAAGTTACCATGTCAAATACAGGATTCTTGATCGAAGATGAACAATTTTACAAAATCAATATCTCTCAGAAACATAACATGGGATGTCTAGGTCTGGCAAAATGGCTATTTGCAAAGCAAGATACTTCTTGGGAATAGTATTGTGTGTCAAACAAACATACAGGGGTAATATGGAGAATCACAAGACCAGCACTTTGTACTTACGATGTCGTAATACACGCTTCCCTAACAACTTGTGATCGAAGGTCCTTGACTGACTCTGTGAGTGAAGGTTCTAATAGTTTTACTTGATGAAGAAATCCATCATAGTTTGTAGCACCAGCAATAATATAACTACGAATTTTCTTCAGCTGTGAAAATAGAACAATAATAATTGAGCATGCAATAATGTATTTAAGGCAAAAACAATTGAATAGTTTGTGGCCATTACAAAAAAAAATTACACTAATATAAAACAAGCAGCCTCTCGGCTGAGATAGCTCCGCTGTTAGCGATGCACATTTCAATTAAAGAACAGAAGATATCATTAGAAAATGAAAAAGATGCATAGTATCAATGCAATGGGACTTGCTGTTTTCACAAGAATTCAAAATATCATTTTTCAACATAAATGATTGTGGTTTTTAACAAGAAAAAAATATCACTTTTTACCAAAAATGACAAA